CAGCCATCTGTTGTTGTCTAGATTCGGTAACACAGGAAGGGTGTAAGACTAATATATGTTGATCAAAAGACCAAGAAAGAATTACTTCAGAGAACTTGCTGTATTTTAGAACGAATCATAGAATCATAAAATGGTTTGGGCTGGAAGCGACCTTAAAGATCATCTAGTTCCAACCCCCCTGCCATGAGCAGGGACATCTTCCACTAGACCAGGTTGCTCAGAGCTCCATCCAACCTGGCCTTGAACACTGCCAGGGAGGGGACATCCACAGCTTCTCTGGGCAACCTGGTCCAGTGTTTCACCTCCCTCATGGTGAAGAATTTCTTCCTCATATCTAATCTAAATCTACCCCCTTTCATTTTCGAGCCATTCCCCCTTGTCCTATGACTACACACCCTTGTGAAAAGCCCCTCTCCATCCTTCCTGTAGGCCCCCTAAAGGTACTGGAAGGCTGCTATAAGGTCACCCTGGAGCCTTCTCCAGGATGAACTGTCCCAGCTCGCACTGCCTGTGCTCACAGGAGAGGTGCTCCAGCCCTCTGATCGTCTTTGTGGCCCTCGTCTGGACCCGCTCCAACACATCCATGTCCTTCTTATGTTGGAGGCTCCAGAGCTGGACGCAAATAATTAGGATAATACACGTTTGGTTGCTTCTCAGGTTTTGTACGTTTCATGCCAGTCACAGTGCAGAAGACACATATACCCTTCCTTTCAAAGATGAAAATGTTAGAGCCAGAGTATTCCTTGAAGTATTTGTGGAAGTTGAAGGGGTGAAATGAAAATCTGAGCAAAAACTGACGGATTTATTTTCAGAGGTTCTGGAAAGTGTTCTGAATATCTAATTAGTTGATGCTAATTACAAAAATATATCCCTCCCTTTTTGAGAGTTTCAAGATTCACCAGTCTGCACCTTTAGTTCCTCTGTCACTTAAATAGCGTGTTGTAATTGTAGATTGTGATGACTGTCTACAAACGTAAAGCTCAGTTGTCTGTGGGCACGTCTTCTAAACCCTCAGAAAAGTCTTCAGATTTTGACAGAAAGCTTACACAAGCCAATATAAGGCAAATGAGTGTTGAGGGAGCTAAACGTATTTAGGTGCTTCACTTTAAAAACTAAGTTAGTGATATGTGGTCCTGTAGGAAACTTTCATTTTCTTCTTCAACATATGTTTAAATATCTCACACATGAAAACGGAAGTTTTAGAAATGTAAAAAAAAAACACCTTATGTATTTCTAAAATCAGAAATAGTGACAATGCTTCTATTGCATCTCCTTTTTAATGGGTCAACAAGGAACTGATAACTTCCCTTTGACTTCTCCTCAGCTCTTTAAAACAGTTAATCATTGCAGCTTCCTTGAGTCTTTGCTGAAATTGTCTAATTTCTACTCTCTCTAAGCTTCAAAGAATGAAGCAGTAGAGAAGAAGACAAGCTGTGACTTTCAGATGTAAGTCTGTTTCTCGTAGCATCTTCTTGCGGAGTCCCAAAAAACTCCTTGAGTTCTCTGTACTATGACCCTAGGTATTCACAAGACTTATGTTGGCTTTTGGGGCTTTGGCACTTCAGCCTGTTTATCTTAGCTCTAAAAAAATCCAAACCATAGTCATCTTCAAAATCAAAATGGGTCAGCTTTGAGAAGTTTACCTGTTAGAGATAATGAGCATTACCTTAAGAAGTCAAATGTGTCTTCAGAAGAACCAGTGTTGTTCTTCCAATTATTTTATTCAGATAATAGACAAAATCTTACAATATCTTTTATATCACTATAAAAGCTTATATGTGAAATCTAAATTTGAGTATTATTAACAGTTTTAAAATAATGATTTTTGTGTATCATTGACATCAACTATAAGAATAGCTTATATCGCTCTGGTGTTTAAATACATCTTTAGCATAACAAGTAATCTCAAACCTATTTAAATTATATTTTGTTTTCATACTGAAGACAATTCTACTGATTTTGATACAAAATAGGAATGCGAGTACTTTGATGCAGACTTCTTATCTTGGAATGAAAGTGAACTTGTCCTAATTTAAAAATAAGTAGGTCTTTACCATACACAATTTTAAGAAAAATACCAACAAAATGATTCATTAAGCTATTTTTATCATTCTGTTTATGATAGTTAAACTCATTTTCTATGCTTTTAATGTTTTTTTAGTTTGTTGTATGGCTATGAAAATGATAATGAACTGCAAAACAACATGCAAGTTTTCAAATACAATCAAAGTTGTTATTTTTTAAAGTAATTTTTGCATACTGGTTTTTCCGCAGTTTTGGTAGTAATTCATATAAACTTCTTGCAGTTCTTATAGTTAGATCCTATAAAATGGTAGTATTTCAAGTTAGGAATTTGGTTAATGAAACAAGTAGATAATATAAATAGCAAATTAAGACAATTATTTTTACCTAATCAATTATTGGGGACAATCAGTGCATGCTTTTTTTAACCAATCAGAGCTTTACTCATTTTAATCGTGTATGGCATAGTCTGCTGTGACTCTAAATCAGATCTGCCAGACCTTAAGAAATAATTCTTACATTTGTTTTTCTGCCTTGACATAAGGAACAAAATTTCCATGTAAGAGATAAAGGCCTTTTTGTAGTAAACTGGAGTTAGTGCTTTGTCACTTAAAAATTGTATCAGGATAAAAGAGATTTACTTCTCAGAAATTTCATTAAAATACTGTTAGTGGGATTGGAATTGGGAGTTTAGGACTTTGTGAAAACACTTATTTGGTAAAGTTTGGGACAAATCACATGGTAGAGGTGGGTTATTAAGCTCGTTTATGGCTTTGCGTGCGGCAGCCCCTTTGGTGTAGAGTAGCACAGTCAACTTGATTGTAGAAGGCGACCAAAGGAAGAGTTTTGCCTTGGATATTTCAATATCAGCCACCTCTCATTTGCTGCTGACCTTTGTTTACAGATTTAGTCTGTGGGTGTCTTCTCTCAGGCTTTGAAGAGGGGTGGTTTTGTTCCTCAAAATCAATGTCAAAAGCATTCAGACTTCACCATGGCTATATTTGGTAGTAAGCATTAATTCGATACAGAGAGTCTTTGCAGGAGTGAACTTGTTTTTTAGAGACTTGGAAGTCATTGGTAGGTTGTGCATTATGCCATGGCTTTTTATGCTGTTGTCAGACCCTTCCATACTCATATCGCAGTGGTGATTTGAGAACAGTGCATCATTGTAGGTATTGAAATTAAGCCATTAAAGTTTTCTGACATAGTGGCATTTTTTTGGTGGATGAATATATTAGAAACACTCCATTTAAATCAGATCATTTTTGTCTATAATGTTTTTATCAGTTTTATGTGTATTCATGGTGTGTTTATTTTTATTGTAAATCACAAAGGAAATTTCAAAATGGAGGACACTTAATTTGGTTCTGTGAGCTGGAATAAGACAACATAGTTTTTCTACAACTGTTTTTCTTGTAGTTGTGAACATACGATGGTTTTGTTTGTATTAAAGAAAATCAAAAATCCCAAACCAATCAAATTATCCACCTTATAATTTTAATAATGACCTCAGCTCAGGACATTAAGTTGGGAATTAATGATCAGTTAAGGTTAATGACTCAATGCCTGGAGTCATTAAACTCCAAGGAAATGCCCTGTACTTTGGTTGTTTTTGGTTTTATTAAAGGTAGGTTGTACAAGTTGCAAAAAAAAAAAGGGTATTTCCAAACACAAGAGGAACAAATATGCAAAGAAAACAGAGGTATTTTATTATCTGCCTCTTGCAGACCCAGCATAGCTAAAAACGCCATTATCCTTGATGGGAGTGTTGCTGTTGTGGAGCAAAACCTTTCACAGCCACCTTTCTTTATTTTTTCTTGTTTTGAAACACATGAAGAACCTCAAATGTTTGGCAAAGCATAGGTTAACACCGCAGTGTTAGAACCGCACATCACCTTTTTTCGGCAAAGTTATTCCACAATGTCCCCTAAGTAAGCAGTTACAGGGTATTGCAGTAGTGCTATGCTGTGTTCTGTACATAAGGATACAAGCGTTTGGATATGCATTGTATGTAGCAGGTACAGATTTGCATGTAAGTGGATAATAAGTATTTTCATTGTAATCCGTATCTAATTTGTATGCTACTTACAGAGTCCAGGAGATGGAAAGTTGTGTATGTGAGCATTTAACAGACAAGGAGTGCTTAAACCTGAAGCCCTTTATTTTTCCATACTGGACAGATGTACGCTGCCATGATGGCAGTAGCTCAACAATATCTTACAAATAATTCCGAGTCCTTTCTGACATAAAGTAGTATATTTAAAGTAGGGTGTCTTAGTGAGATTTTCACTTTAAATAGAATAAGGGTTAAATGATAACTTGACTTATCTTTTAAATGACAAAAAATAAAGAAATTGCAAGACCTTTTCACACATTAGATATGTATTGTCATTTATCATCTAGATATCAGGCTAGCAGTGCGAAGTAATAAAACATATCATCGAAAAATGTGCTATAGGTCTGAATCACTCTTTCATTCCACCTCCCAGCTAACTGTAGCATTAAATCAAACAAGCAGAACATTTCCTTAGGCAGCCATTGCCTTTTAATTTCCTGAAGAACCTTAAAATATCATTCATTACAAGTACTACACATATTTGGTTTTTAAAAGTCTCATAAATCAATAGCAGGCTGACTGTAATAATTATTACAAGTTAGTGCATAATTTTCGTGCTGAAGGCTGCATGCAGAACTTTAGCATATGCAAACGAGGCAATTCAAACTGTGTATAGATATTAATATGAAGAAGCAGGTAACGAGGTGCAGGCTATGAATTATGCATCAAGAGCGGCTGATCTTCAATGAGGAAAATGAATTCAGCATGTAATCTAATTAGTGATGGAAGTCTATTACATCTAACTGCAAAAGCAACCGTCCTTGAAACAAATTTATTTACAGTCCATGTTACCACTTGAAACAACTTTGAAATGATGTGTAAGACAACAGCTTAATTGTAAAAATTTTTTTGTTTGTTTCAGTTCTAGACCTGGAAGGCCCCCTAAGAGGACTCAAAGTGTCACCTCCCCAGAGAATTCGCATATCATGCCACATTCTGTCCCAGGCCTAATGTCTCCTGGAATCATCCCGCCAACAGGTAGGATCGCTAGAAACACCTTCACGCGGGCAATCGTCTGAATACTTGGCTTATACCCACTTGTTAAGAAATTAACAGTCTAGGAAACCAGCACCCGAATATCACAGCGGAGTTCCATAATGTAACATTATTGCTACATTAATGTTTTGTATGTAATAGAAATTTTGGCAGCTGAGTACTTTGAAATACAAATAACTGAGCAAATAATAATCCTTCATAATATTTTTCCCCTGTTCTTTTTCTTTATAACCAAAAACCTTTCAAAGCATGAATTACCTATCATTAGACAATAATCTCCCTATACATTTTTAATAGATATCTTCTGATTTTTTGCTGCTTTGCATGATTAGATAATGTCGTCATGAGTATAGTTGCCTGAAGAAACCGAGTTAGTTAAAATAACTCCATGCTGCACACACGCCTGTCTTAATTTTTCATCCTGAAATTCTATTTTTGATATGTCTCCTGAGGCCTTATACTAATGCGAAGTCCTGTAACAATCTGTTTCTCAAACTAGTATTTTCTTTTGGAAGTTATTATAGCATCTCCTAGCAGTGACTTGCTCTCAGACATAGTTAAATTAAGAAAGGCTGTGTTGCAGGAAGGAGATGAGCAGAGCCGCCTGAAGATGGAGGCACCCAACAGTTAAGCTGCTGATGGTGGTGCCACGTTCTTCTCTCCGTGTTAGAGATAAGTTCTCCCACTTGCTTCACCAAAGCTCACCTGAGCTTCTGCTTCTTCTGCAGTTGTTCCCCACTTGTTTGCACAGCTCAGTCTGTGGCACTGATTGTCTCTAAGGCAAAAGAAAGATAATAAACTACAGAGATCCAAATAGAGAGGAAGATTGCTGTCTTAGAGGTTGGATGTATGTTTGAGTACATGTCCATGATCACATGTCTGTTTAAGTATGAGCATGATCCTTGGCATGGTTTTGGTCATAGCTGATAACATTCTCCAAAAAACCCACAGTTCAGGAAACAGGACATGCCAGAAATCGTTGGCAGTTTGGATGCAAGTGTCTTCTCTGGAGGAGGGTGGAAAGGGAAGAGAGTTTAGCCCTATGAATAAAAGTGGGGCCATGCCTCTTGGCCTTAGGGCTCAAGAGCTGCTTTACGTAGCCAGAAATATTTTATTCAAAAGGCTTAAGATCAAGAGCAGTGACAAAATGAAGAGACGTCAGACAACTCAGCTGAGGTTGGTAAGAGAGAGTTATAAAGTCAGCAGAGGGAAGGAGGGGTGAGACTGAGAGTGTAGGCAAGCATGGGAGAGTGTTGGGCAAGTAGGACTCACAGCGGTAGTCTGGGCAGGTGGTACCATCAAAAAAAATGAATCTGGATTAAAATATTTTACACAATAGGATTTGTAGCATACTAAAGGAAATAGAGTTGGCGCAGCGTGAATGTAATGTGAGAGTAATAGACAGAGTCTATGTGCGGAAAGAACGAGGGTTTTAATAGGGCAGAAGCATTCTTGTTTATGAGGGAGAGATCAAAAAGAGGCAAAGGGAAATTATTTGGGGGAAGTAAGGCAGGAAAATATCAAAGAAAAAAATGCATGTGAAAAGTAGAAAGGAGGTGACATGAAAGAAGCCAGAAACAAATAAGCAGGCCAAAAAGAGGGAGACAGGAAAAAAAAACCCTTGTCAACAGTATCCTTTAGGGTTTTGTGTTACAGTTAATATATAAGAGCAGATCACCTCTTGATATAATACCTTCTATTTTTTTTTTCTTTATTTTATTCTAAGAAAGCAGCTTGAAACCACAACTAATGCCAAAAGTATCCAATTCCTCTCTGGTCCTTTAAAGCTGGTCATAATACGTTAATGATAAAAATATACAGTACTAAAAACACAGATCCAATTTCTTAGAATATCAACCCACAAAACCAGATGTAGATCTGTTTAAAATGATGATTTAAAAACAAGAAGAAAATAATTCAAAATTAAAGAAAATAGGCATATGTAAGACTATGATTCATCGACTGCTTTTAGGGTGGTTATGCTTTGTGAGTCTCTTGCAAAAGAGGAAGGGTTTAAATGAAATCGCTATTAAGCTTGAAGTGGTTTCGCGTTACATGGCTTACCACAACAGAAGGAGTGAGCATGATTTTTTCCCATTGTGGTGGTGATGTTAAGTCTCAAGCAGCACAAAAACCGGAAATGCTGACGCTGTTAGGAGCAAGCTCTAGGGTATAGTGTTCCACAGAGAGTGGCTCAGCAAAGGTAAGGAGCATCAGGACCGCAGCGCTGCATGTCAGTCATTCCAGCATTTTGTAGACAGACAAGTATAAAAATAGGCTTACAGTCTGATCTGCTGAGTTCAAATCAATGAACATTTGCGCGTCTACATTGTGAATAAGTACTGAAACCCCTGTAAGAGCCCTACCAAGAAAGAACTGCTGTAATTGCAATTGGTGACATAGGTGCCGTTGTTATGTGCTACCACTTTAACTGATACTAAAAAATTCTTGCTCTTTGTGAGTATTTTGCTCCATATTTTCACTGTATCCTCATAAAACCACAGAATAATTGAGGTTGGCAGGCACCACTGGAGTTCATCTAGTCCAGCTTTGCCTGGTCAAAGTAGGGTCACACAGACCCAGTTGTTCAGGGCTGAGTCCAGTTGGGCTTTGAGTATCTTCAAAGATGGAAAGTCCACAACATCTCTTTGCAACCTATTTCAGTGGTTAACTACTCTGAAAATAAAATCTTTTTTCTTACTTTTCAATGGAATGTCCTCTATTTCAATTTGTGTCCATTGAGTGACACTGAGAAGAGTCTGGCTCCATCTTCTTTACTCACCTCCCCATCAGGTATTGATTCACATTGGTAAGATCCCCCCGAGCCTTTTCCAGGTTGAGAAGTCCCAGGTCTCTCAACCTCTTTCTATGTGACAGTGTTCCAATCCCTTAATCATCTTTGTGGCCCTAAGATGACGCCTTGTTCAGGAAGTTCATGAAGTTTGAATTTCCTGTTAGGATTCAGCTCTAAGCAGAAAAAAATCGAAGTACCAGATTGTTAAGTGCTTTTTCCTCCTCCTTTCTCTGTCTCTTTTTTGGTAACAAATTCTTCTTTTTAAACTTTCTGATTGATTTAATAATCTGAGTATAATAACTAAGTTTCCTTCCTGCCTACAAAAGAGTATAAGTGATCACACAAACAATTATGTGCTATTTAACGCTCTTTAAGTAACAGAGATCTGCAATTATTAGGTATATCTAGGATATACAACGCTATGATTTAACTGTGATTTTTACTTGAAAATTTTCCTTTTTGTGAAATCTGCATAGAACAGAAATACGCATTTAAAGGTGGAAATCCTCGTTTCTAAAGGGGCTGATCCTGCATGCATTGTTTATGTGTGCAAAGAATACTGGTACAGAACTGTATGCTGAGACTTATCATGAAATCTCACAATTGTATATTTTTGTAGGAGGCCAAGCTGAGGATCCCTTGAAAATGTATTCTGTTAAAAATGTATTCTGTTACTGGTCCAGTCTGAAAACCTATGCAGAGAATGTTGCATCATGCCTTAGAATGGATTTGCTTTAGAGAAGTATTTAGGGACTGAGCTGAGATTTAGGTACTATATTGAGAAGGAAAATAAAAGGCAAAAAAGGAATAATAATCCACAGCTTTTTTAGGAAGCATAAATTAAAGAAGTGAGGATCACCTCTTGGGTGATACTCTGTCCATTTTTATCACAAGATTCATAAATGCTACCCACAGTTGCTGATCTAGCCACTGTCTTTCATTAGGGTCAACTTACAGAATATTCCCAGCTTTAGAAAAGACTGGTCAACTGACAAAAGGCAGTCTTATGCTTATTAAAATTAATGTAGGACCTTTGAAAGTGTGACAACTTAAGAAATGTGTAGTAACAGGAAATGAAGAGCTTCTTGAATTGTCCAGAGAATTAAAATCTGCCTGTTACAAAGAATGTAGTCAGAAGAAGAAAGAGTTTGGTATAGGTTCAGACAAGTGCACTGACTTTCAGGTATCTGGAATGTTATCTGGATAACACCTTGAAGCCCTTCCAAAACTAAATGGCTCATCACAGTTAACTTTGTGCTGCAGATCTTTTCTTGTCTAATGTGCTTAGAAGACTTCAAAAGTTCTCTAAAGTTGAAACTGTAGATAGCTGTAATCAGAGAAGCAGTACTGCAGTTCCTGTGTGGAGTTTATTATATACATTTTGCTCGGTACGCTTATGTCTGTAGTTGCTATATAACATATAAAATGATATTTTCATTATTTTTCATGCAAACTTCAAAAAGCGATTATCTTCAGTTTTCAAAATTTATTTGGAACTAGTCTTACGTTTTTGAACTTCTAGGTTTTGAAACTGTTTTCTAAAGCTCCTAACTTAATTCTTCTGCAGCTTGGCCTACTGAATCTGTAACGTACAGGTGATGAAATGAGTAACTACAGAACTCATATACTTATTTCAGGAACTGTATCCTTCTCTCAAAGATAAAATGTAAATATAAAGTGCTTTTGAAAATCACTGCTACAGGGAATGCTCAGAATGCTACTTGATATATCAATATCTATATAGATATCCATATATATAGAGAGATATTTTTTAATTAAAAAAAGAATTTCAAAGCACCTTACATGTTTAATTTATTACATTAATTTTACGTTAAATTAATTTCAGTAATTATTGTTGCTATTATTATTATTTTGAACAGTTTTGCTTTACAATAGGTACTTCTGTCCACCTATGCCACATCTGATACCAGACTCTTCTCTTCTGGTGTAAAGATACTAAGCTTCCTCTGAAATGTTTCATGTCTACAGATTATAACTACTTTCCTGTATTAAACTCCTATTCTGTCTTTTCTCTTCTTGAGTGATAGTCTGAAGATGTAATTTCCAATCTCATCCTTATTTTCTCTTCTGCTGTGTGCCTGAATCCATAAAATTATATTCCAACTTCCATCCTGTACAACACTCTAAGCCATGAAGTGTTTTTATGGGGAGTTAAGAGTAAGGAGAG